CCACCTCTAGCCAAACTTCTAACAGGATAAGGCAGGTATAGATATTGAATGGATGCTAAAAAGTATTCACCTCCCTTCAAAATTTTCCCCTTTCATTACTTTTTCACATCAAAAAATGGTCGATTTGATTTGGCTTTTTGACAAGAAGTAACCAAAAGGAGACGTGTTCAAGTCAATGTGATAAAGATACATACAAATGTCAACTATTTAAAAATCTGAAATGTAAAATAAGTGATTGCACAAGTATTCACCCCTAATGTACTCACTTATTTCAGGTTTTCTGTCTTTTTTTTTGTACTTAATTGACATTCCTTCGGGGCTGCAAGGTGGAGCAGTGGTTAGCACCGTTGCCTCGCAGCTAGAAGGTCGCCGGTTCGTGTCCCGGTGAGGACACCCAGGATCTTTCTGTGTGGAGTTTGCATGTTCTCCCCATGCAGCGTGGGTTCTCTCCGGGTTCTCCAGCTTCCTCCCACAAGGTCCAAAACCATGTTGAGGTTAATTGGTGATTCTAAATTGCCCGTAGGTGTGAATGTGAGTGTGCTTGGTTGTCTGTCTCTAAGTGTAGCCCTGTGATAGACTGGTGACCTGTCCAGGGTGTCTCCTGTCTTCACCCTGAGTCAGCTGGAATAGACTCCAGCCTCCTGTGACCCTAGTGAGGACTAAGTGGTGTATAGATAATGGATGGATGGACATTCTTTCGTAGAAATGAATTCTCACTTTGACATGAAAGAGTCTTTTTGTATGTTCTTGACAAAAAAAAGCTCATTAAAATCGGCTATGGTTCCGTGTTGGACATATGAAGATTGCTGCTTCATGCAGCTTACTTTTATTATCTCATATTTTGTACACATTAGCCACATTTGAATGCACAACAGGAAAAGACGAAGGCATCCTCAACTGAAGCACTGCTCCAGAAAGGGCCAGCGTCTCCCCACTACCTCTCCTCTAAGAATAAGCTCAGCCAGCTTGCGAGGAGAATATTATTTTGTCCACTTGTATCATTTTCTTACTCGTTACCCAAAGCTTACGGTCATAGAGGAAAGCTGGGAAGCACATCTAGCAGTAAATTGAGAGCTTGGCCTTCAGGCTCAGCTTCCTCCGCTCCATAAGCCTGGTGTAATGTAGGCATGACTGTGACACAGCAGCATTCAGCCCGTTGAGGTTGTGTTTCTTCTAACGCTCACTCCTGCTCTCTTCTAATCTCACAGGAGCAATCTGTTGTTCAGAGTACCGTGGGTTTCTGATGCTCTGAGCTGCTGACTTTCCCATGATGAAGCTTCACATGAAGTTTTGCACGTATTAAGATTAAAAGGTGTATTTTGTAAAAGATTACAATCGACTGTGATTGCTTGTTTGTGTTATTTTGTACTCTCCTCTCATCTAACCAGCCGAGGCAGGTGGGTTGAGTCTGGTTCCGTCTTGTCAAAGGGGGAATTGTTGGGTTTCTCTGTTAGATCTGGACCTGACTTTCTTTCAGGTGTCTTTTAATGCGACTTGTTCTTTACCGAAAGCCTTTTGAACTACATTTCTTGCTGTCATACATATAAAGTCCATTATTATTACTACTTAACATGTAGTAAGTCAGACGGACACTACCTTGGGCATCATCCTGGTGAAGCAGGATAGAGGAAAAGGTTTCATGAATTCAGCCTGGTATTTGGGAAAAGCAGTGTGAGATGTTAAAAATGTCAACTCTATAAAGAGAGTGTATTTTTCTGATCTGAATCGTGCAAATATGACTTTATAAGTGCATAAATGTTTAGTGTGTGGAGGAAATGTCACCTCTGGGATACACGATGAAGCTGCTGATGTCTACATATAGAATCACATTTTCCCTTCAGCATAGGTCAATCTTAAACAGGTTGGTGTGATGGAATCAGAAAGAAAAAACATAGATTCACTGATCATAAACGGTGAGTTTAGTCCTGGTATTTTATACGCTTTACAATTTAAGGTTCCTTCGAGATTTAGAAAGAAAGAAAAAAGTTATTCATAAACAACAGATGCTGAGCCAAAGTGGTTTTCAACAGAGAAATAAGATCAGTGATTTTAATTTACTCAGCAAGTTTGAATATTAAGGTTAAGCCCCTACAGTGTTTAATATGTAGATTTAGTTAGTAATTAGTCATAAATGCACATTTATTTGACTAAAGAAAACATTACTGATACGAGCCTACAAGTGTGAGTGAGTGGAGAGCATCAAGTTCCTCAGAGTGTAGAGGACCTGAGCTGGAATAAGAACACAGCAGCGATCATCAAGCAGCCCCAGCAGAGACTGCATTTCCTGACACAAGCCTCTCTCCCTAATGTGAGTGTGCTTGGTTGTCTGTCTCTAAGTGTAGCCCTGTGATAGACTGGTGACCTGTCCAGGGTGTCTCCTGCCTTCGGCCTAAGTCAGCTGGGATAGACTCCAGCTCCCCCGCGACCCTAGTGAGGATAAAGCGGTGTATAGATAATGGATGGATGAAAGCCTCTCTCCCCGCTAGCATCCTCAGGACTTTCTAAAGAGCTGTGGTGGAGACATCCTGCATCTCAACATGGTCCTCCAGCTGCAGTCTGTCAGACAGAAAAGTCCTACAAGGGGTAGTTAGAGGAGCTGAGAGGGCCATCAGAGTTTCCCTCCCCTCTGTCCAAGAACATCTCCAGAGCTGCTGCAGGAGCAGGACACTGAACACTGTCAGGGACTCCTCACACCCTCTCCATGAACTGTTTGAACTGCTGCCATCAGGCAAACGTTTTAAAGGGAGAACCTCCTGACTGATCAACAGCTTCATTCCACAAGCTGTCAGAATGCTGAACTGCTGATCCAGATATGCAAACACTTGTTTATTTAAACTGCATCCTGAAGAAACGCTCTCTCATCTTGCCTGTACTACTGTGTATGTGCAGCAACATGACAATAAACTTGGGGGGTTTGTTGCTCCTAGCCCTCTAGAAGGCGACCACTTATACTCTGAGTACAGAACGTGTGAAGGATCACTCAGGAACTTGTTGGCCAGGCGCAGAGCGGCCTGTTCATGGGTGTTTTGTAGGAACGGGTGCTCCTGCTCACCTATAATTTTCCACACAGTGTGGACTAGACACAGCAGCTTGTTTTTCAGCTGAACAGAGAGGCTGCCGTACCTGTGATGCTGTATCCGACCACACTCTCCAACACTGCGCGTGGTAGAAGATCATCATGATTTTATTATCCACCCCATGGAGGCTTAAGCGAAACTACTTGAGTTGTTTTNTGCCACTGGTTCAAGCCTCCAGGGTTTCTCTGTGGGTACAACATACTGTGCATATTAAACTCTGTAAATGTTAGATTTTTAGGTTCATTCTTTTTCTGGCTACATTTTCAGGCTGAGGGGCTGTAAGCTGTCTGTGAAAAGCTGTAAAGCTCTGGCCTCAGTTCTCAGCTCCGGGTCCTGCAACCTGAAAGAGCTGGATCTGAGTGACAACAATGTGGAGAATACAGGAGTCAAGGAGCTCGCAAGAGGCTTGAAAGATCCACTGTGCAGACTGGAAACACTCAGGTCTGTTTGTCTCTTTCAAGGATGTTTTTAGATCATTTTGTTACTATTATATATTTATGTACATGACTATGGCCTACGTTTGTCTGGACCAAAGCAGCAAACATCTTGGGTGACACACTACGTATTCTATTGCTACACAATATTGACTTTTATGCCATGATGGTGGTAGCAAATGGAATATCCCCTGATTTCAGGATGTGCCATTGTCAGAAAATAATTCCAATTAATTTCAAACTTTGGACACATACACCAACAAGTATTCATATGCGGACACTGTTACGTACAACCACAGTCTTAAATATTAAACTGCAAGCAGCTCTGTTGGAGCAGTTCGTTGTCATACAGATAATTCTGGTACATTTTAAATTTCAACCGGCCTTATGTCCCACAAAATATGACTGTTGTGACTCTAAGACTTATACTAACTCTGCACTCACTGCCTCTGTTAACAGATTGAGGGTAATGAGGACAATATGCAGATTAACATACAAGCTAGGCAAGCTTTCTAAAGCATTTTAGATAATCAGAATTCCAATGCTGGAATTTTCCTTTACCTCAGTGGTGGTAATGACGGGAGCG